ATACCTTCTTTAAGTGGATGCAACTCTGAGCAAACATACACAAATAGATTAAATTTTAGCTACTTTTCCTCCCTTTTATAGGGCACTCCTGTGCAGGGCAGAACTACATGTGACGGTGGGTGTGATCTTGCCATGTTCTGTTCCAACAGCAGCTAATCAAAGGTGAAGAAACCATACTGAATAAAAGGGCCCTCATAAATCAGGGGAGGCGACTTATAGGACTTGTATGAAAAAGCTGACCCTTTAAGTTAGATGCATATCTCAGAAAACAGAAATAGGGTGCAATATGCACAGAAGGGGGTGGAAGATACACTTAAAGCCCAGACCAAAAACCATTTGCACCTCCTAAAGCTATTGAAATAAAATAATAATAATAAAACAAATAAATAAAGCATAAATAATTTAGACCCTTTCCTTTGTGATTAAATTCACAACACTACATTGCTGAAATGTACAAAGGGGTACTAACGGCAGAATTTGCTTTAAAAGTTGTGATGCTTTTAGAAAATGTTTACTGTGGGCTATATAATATGCTAAGCCCTTATAAATTATTACCTTAATCTCCATAGTGTTCCTATTGTACTCATTTTAGAGATGAAGTATAAATAACTTATCCAAGAGCACTTTGCTAGGGTGCAGCAAAAAGCATTTGATTGAGATATACCTGACTTAAAAACTCATGGTCTTAATTATAACACAAAATTACCTTTTCTTTTTTTAAAAGAAAAGAAGCAAAATGTTGAAAGCCCTTACTCAGTGTCATAATTCTGCATAACAATAGAACACTAGGATTTGGAAGGTTAAACTGATATAAAAGCCAGGGTGTGATTGATTGCTAAGGTCTGAATATTTGTGCCCTGCCCCCCAAAGTTCATATGTTGAAAGCTGATGCCTAATGTGAGAGGTGGAGCATTTGGAGGGTGATTAGGTCATGGGGTTGAAGCCCTCATGAATGGGATTGATGTCCTTACAAAAGAGACCCCAGAGGGATCCTTCATTCCCTCTACTGTGTGAGGACACAGCAAGATAGCGCCAGACACCGAATTGGCTGGAGCCTTGATCTTGGATCTCCCAGTACCCAGAACTGAGGGAATAAATATCTGTTGTTTTAAACCACTCAGTTTACCGTATTTTGTTATAGTGGCCTGAATGGACTAAGACAGTAATATAAATACCAAGAGTGAAAAGTCAGCTATCCTGACTGTGTCTCTGAGTATGCTATCACCTAGGCCTTGATTTATGTGCCTGCGCAACATTAAACTGAAGAAATGCAGAGACAGTTTCAAAAACTTTGAACCCTTGCAACTATAGAGTGGTTCCAATCTTACCTTCTCTTTGATGCCTTAGCTAGATAACAGCACCCGAAGACACTTCTTCCTTCCTGGAGTTCTTCAGCGTTCATGATTGGTGTAGGTGACTCGGAAACATATCCACACAGCTGTGTGAAAGTTTTTCCTTTTGAAATTTGAACCGAGCATTTAAATGTCAGGGTGTTTATTTCTCATCTCCCCAGCTAGGTGGCAAGTTCTCTGAAGGTAGAGACCATAGCTTGTACTTTCTAGAAACCACCTCAGCAGTGCCTTGAACAGAGTCAGTACCCCTGCTACACTGTTTACTTTTTTTAGAATTATTTCAATGCACTATGTGGCCTAAACTAAATCAAATTCTAAGCATGTTTTAGATTTAGAATGTGTTTTTTAGAAGCCCCTGCTCAGTAAGGGTTTTTGTCATCGTACTTTTGCGAATTCTATAAGTAAAACCTAAAGCTCTTAGCCATAAAAATCTATGTTTTTTTCTTCCCTTTCTTTGATTGAAGTCTCAGGCTGAAGTGTTTATGTTTTTCAACATCTTCCCAAAACTTTCTCTGATGTTGACTGCCCTTCCCTTCATTTTTTTAGTGACATCCACTATTCTTCCTCTATTCCTACCCATTAATTCCTTTTGAATGGCAATAGGAAAAATAGTATTGTCTAGGATGTTGCAATCTGATTTAAGTGAAAATTATGTCTCCACTTGGGAATGTTATTAAGCATCTCTGGGCCTCAGTTTTTTTATTTATAAAATGTAGAGAAGTGTACCCATTTCAAAGGATTTATGTGAGAACAAAACCAATTAGTTAGGTGAAGTATCTGGTCTGGCTCTTGGCCCACAGGAGATGATGATACATTTAAGTTTTCCCTTTTTTTCCTTTCTCTCTTCCCCCCTCATTATTGCCTTTCCTCTCCTTCCTTTCCCTAGACATAGACTTCCCTATATATTCCCTCCCTGATTCATCTTCAGCTCTCTCTGAAGATAATCCTAGCTCTGGATCAGTATTTCAATCCCAAGGACTGATCAGGGTTCTTCCCCGGATTTTCAACAATGAGCAACATGTCCCAGGTTTGCTGAATGTCTGTCAGTCCTTCCCCACCAAATCCCACCCCCATCTCCCCACACCCCAAAACAACGCCCTTCTACCAATAGGGCCACAGGCACCCAAGAGTAAAATGTAAGTCACTATTGTCTGTCCAACAAGCCCCGAAGAATCCTTGGCATTACCTCTTGAGTCACCAGCATCATCACCTCCCACCATGACTTCCGTTACTTTATCAGGATCTTTTCCCACCTTCAATCTCTCTTAGCCAGTTCTTCTTATTCATTGTCCCTGGATAAGGTTCCTAATGTCATAGCTCAAACCACGTCACTTATTCTCCTCCATGTGTTTACTAATTGTGCCTTGTGCTCTGCAGCGTGTGTGTCTTCTGTTCCTGCTGTTTCCTCCTCGCCCCCCCAATCTCTCCTTGCTGAACTCCTGCTCATCATGAAAGGCCCAACTTTTTGACACTTGGTAAAACTGGCTCCTTCCTTAGCCCCCCTACCCCACTGTTTCTCAGGTTCCTCCCCTGACTCCTGCTCAGACCCTTCCCCAGGTCCTGCTGCAGCTCTGCTTCCCACTCTCCGCAGGACACTCTAGTCAGCACTTTCCAAACTGTGTGATCACAGAACTTTAGAAATTATAATGTAAAAGAAAATACACAGATGGCACAGAATGAACTGGCAGGCCAATTAATCCCTGAAAGAAAGGTCAGACTTCAGTCCTCACCTTTTTATAAACTTAGAAATGACTTCATTAAGTTGAAGCCTCATATCAGGTGCATTATCCTGTTCCTAGATTTTGCTTCCATTGAAGTACAACATAAAATTTCATTTCTCACAGATATAAAATAGCAAGAAAAAAAAAATATATATATATATATAAAGAATGGACTTTTTGTTGTTTGTTTTTTGCTTTAGAAAATAAAGCTTCATCTTCTCTTTGAAGTATTGTCTTTTCATTTCTTTGATTATGGCACCATCTAAGAGCTAGAAGACTCAGTTTTTTATTAAAACTTCCATTTTTCAGCAGAGATCTATGGGGAATAAGTTTATGTACTATTAATGTTTAATATGCAATAAAGGTTGAATAATATTACAAATATATGCTGAATTTACCAGACACAGGCTAGAAACCTCATACAGATGAGCTATGTTAATGATGATAAGTGACGTCCCTACTCATTCATACATGTAATGGCCTTTCCATGCCAGTTTCCTGCATTCTCAGTGTGGTATGATTCATACAGGGCTAGGTGCAGTAGTACATGCATGTAATCCTGTAACTTTGGGAGACTGTGGGAGGATTGCTTGAGCCCAGGAGTTTGAGGCCAGCCTGGGCAACATAGGAGATCTCATCACTACAAAAAAAAAAAAAAAATTAGCCAAATATGGTGGTGTGCTCCTGTAGTCCCAGCCACTTAGGAGGCTAAGGAGGGAAGATCCTTTTAACTCAGGAACTCAAAGCTGCAGTGAGTTGTGATCATGCCACTGCACTCCAGTGTGGGTGACAGAGTGAGAACTCAATTTTTAAAAAAATCATACAGGCACATTATTGCATAATAATGACAATGTGCAGTGTTTAGTGTTTTCTCACACATAGTGCAGGTTAGATTAAAAAGTCAATAGAGTTATTATTCTTTCTGCAGTGCATTCATTTAACATCTTATAAAACCTAGGGTTCCACAGATTATAGATTGAAAAACATTGCCCTAGTATGCTTGCATTTGATCTTGTAACTTTAGTTATTATCTGCTAAGTCACAAATCAGACATCCTTCATGAAAATTTTTCTTGCTAGTGCTAATTTGAAAAGTACTCAATTTTGCATCTTCACAGCTCCCGGCAGTGCTCGGTTTGTATGCACCTGCAGAAGAAATTATGGAAAGTGGGGGAGGGAGTGGAGCATCTTGCAAATTCTTACAGCATTTCTGTAAGTGTAATGTCTGTCGTGAAAGTGATACAGGGGAAAGTTCACAAAGTCATTTGTCGCAAAATTTCTTGTTCAAATCAATTATGGATATAATTTAAATTGTTGATATTGGGGTCATGAAAAGAGACTTTTAAGTGAGATTTTATAAGTAGGAAATATGCTTTTGTTAAGAAACACACTCTGAAGCAACAGTTACTAAGATGCTAAACAGTTACTAAAATATCTACTAAGATTGCACATAGTCTAGATATGCTCCTTAGCTATATTTAGAATTTTATAAATTCTCAATTTATTTTTTTATTTTTTTCCCCATTTGGGGGTTTGATTTTTCCTGGTACCAAACATCTAGTGTTTTCAGTCAAGGGAGGCAGGCTGGGGAGTTTGGTAGAATTTTATTAGGCCACAGCATTAGTGTCCTTTTGTCAATTTTGGTCAATCTACTTTATATCCGCCTGCTTTGGGACCTAAATACAACCTAGAGTTGCTTTCTGGATCACAGGGAATCTTTTGTTTCTACACATGGATTTGATTATTATACATTACAGCAGGTAAGTCATTTTGAAATAGCTACTGGTAAGTACCTCATTATTGTTCGGCAACTAATGTCACTTATCTCCTCTTAAAAGGATAAATTATCCTGCTATAGTATACAGGGTTTGCCTTCAAGCAACCTTATGGTTCTCTCTTTTTTTATTGCCTGCCTTGGTGCTCGATAGTTTCAAAGAGAGCATGGAGAAATCGTCATACTCAGACTGGCAAATAAATAACAGCGTTGCCGAGCTGGTTGCTTCGACAGGCCTTCCAGTGAACATCAGTGATGCCTACCAGGACCCACGCTTCGATGCCGAGGTAAGAGGAGTCCTCTGGCTGCAGTCGTGAGGCTCAGTTGTCACACTGCTGCTGGCTTACTGGTTGAAGCCAAAAAAGGGACATCACGCTTAGCGTGGTGGCGCATACCTGTAGTCCCAGCTACTCAAGAGGCTGAGGCTGGAGGATCACTTTAGTTCAAGAGATCTGGGTTGTAGTGGCCTATGCTGATCTGATCAGGTGTCTGTACTAAGTTTGGCATAATTATGATGACCTTCCAGGAATGGGAGACCACCAGTTTCCCTAAGGAGAGCTGAACAGGCCCAGGATGAAAATGAAGTAAGTCAAAACTCCCGTAGTGATTAGTTATGGAATGGCACCTGTGAATAGCTGCTGCTCTCCAGCCTACGTAGCGAAACCTCATATCTTAAAAACAAAGACATCATACAGATCAATAGCAACTCCTGAATTTACTGACAGTTTACTAAGCTCATCTTTGGCATTGACTACTTACTATTGACAAAAAACTCCCTATCTCTACCCTGATTTGTGGTAAAATGGCTACCCTTAATCTGATGGTTTTTTATAATTGGGAACATTTTATATTAAACTATGGAATATTTAATTATAAAAATGAGTGTATAACAGTTATTTCCCAATAGATCCTGAAACAAGTAACACATTTTTAAAAATTGCTCCTAAGAAAGAGTAATTTTCTTGGTATTATTGTTTAATGTTAATTATCTAGCATGTTGTACTGATATACAGAATATAGTAAAACATTTTTAAAGTTTACATTCTAAAGTAGTATAGAATATCATACAAATAAATTCATATGAACTAATGTGTCTCTTTGTGTATGTAGGTATATACGTACCTCCATACCTACATGTATACACACATATTTAAATATATAATATACATATTGAATATATACATATACATACCTACATATGTAGTATACATATTGAATATAGAGAGATACACACACATGTATTTTTTTCATTAAATTGGAAAGTTTCCTCTGAAGAGCAACAGACATGTTTTGGGTGAGGAAGGACGAGGAGACTCGTGTCCCAGGCAAAGCTGAGCAGTCATGGAGAGTTGGGGAAATGAGACAGTCTACCAGCCTCCTGTGTCTGGAGGACCATAGTCCATGAGGCTAGAGAGGGAAGCAGGGGCCAGATCACCAAAAGACTTTGAAAGCCTTGTTAAGAAGTCTGAGTATTTATCCTGCACAACGGAGAACCAGTAGTTGAGTTTTAAATGTGGAGAAGCAAGAGCTGTATTTTAGAATGATCACACTGGATACAGAACAGAGGACAGGCTAATAATAACAACTGCTGAACATTTAATCCCTGCAATCCTGAGAGGTAGGTGTCATCATCCCCATTTTACAGAAACCAAAAGCTTGTCTATGGCTCTGGAGACAAACAGATTCAGTCCTAACACTCTCAGACTCCATAGTCCTTGCTCTTAATACTATACTGTGCGGGGACACAATTGTGATGGGAACACAATGATGGCAGGGATCTGGGATCCAAGTCTAATTGGTAACTTCAGTCAGTTCATCTTTGCAGAACTCTGAAGGGAAATCTTAAATTCCCAAAACTCATCACTTCTTTGTAGCAACCTGGAACTCTTTTTCCCCAGGCTATGTGTCCCATGTATTTTTGACTCCTTCTTGAGTTTAGATGCTTTTATCTCATAAATACATTCATGAACTCCCAGTCTGCCTTGGGCACCTTTCTGGCTGTTCCTTTAGCTTATCTAATGTGGACGACCCTCTAACTCTCTTCAGTTCTGAGACATTAAATCTGAACTTTGAGTACCTTCCTTGGGGAAGTTCACAACCAAAGTTCTTTAGTTTTCTTCATGTAAGGTAGAACACCACCACCTTGTTCTATGACTGGCACAGCGAAAATGATTTACAGATGTCAATATTTACATACTTTTGCGTTGTGATTGGTTTTAGATATTATGAGGCTTTGCCTTTTGCTTTCTTTGTCTCTTCCTTGATTTTAGAGGGAATATCAAAGAAAAGATTTCTGCACACGTAATTTTATCAAGAAATGCTGTCAGTGTTGTAGTAACATCAGCAATAACTGAATAAACACAAAGGCTTTACTATGCAGAAAGTCATTAACTGCAATTCATTGTTACAAAGTCAACATATTTGATTAGACGTCAAGAGATAATGGTCATTTCTATCCCAACTTATAGCGCTAAAATTGGTATGCATTGCTGTTTTTCTGCTCTTAGCTTTGGACTATATAGAGAGTCCAATTCTGGAGAAGCAAAAACAATCAACAAATTACACCACTGCTTTTTGAAAAATTGGTTCATAAAACGTACGTAAAGGAATAACAGCACATGTTGCAGTATACACCCAGGTACCCATCACCCAGTTTGAGAAAAAAGTTATCATTACTTTTGAATCTTTCCCTTGATCTTCCCTAAATCTCATTGCCTTTATTTCTCCCACAAAAGTAGCCAGTATCCAGAATTCGAATTTATCATTCAGCATTGTGCATGCTTGAATCCTTGCCAGGTATATTGTTATATTTTGCATGTCTCTGAATAGTATATAAATTGAATAATACCATAACAGGGGTGTCCAATCTTTTGGCTTCCCTGGGCCACACTGAGTGGTTTCTCTGAGCTGCTTTGAGTAAAGAGGAATTGTCTTAGATTGCACATAAATTAAATAATATAGTTAGTGTATATAGATAATAAGACTCCTTTTATTTTTTATTATAAAATTTAGAAAAATGAAAATGATATAAAAGTAGTTTTTGTAAAACTAATCTATCAATGTCTGGTTCTGTGGAAGTGGTCACAATTCTTAGTTCTCAAGGTGCTTATCTGAAATGTTTGTTCAAATGTTGCTCTTTGTGTCTTCATAATTGAAAACAGCTGCTCACAAACATATGTGCTGCCAAAAAGTGATGTCATTAATAAGGCATGATTGTGACCTTCATAAATGGAACTACACATGAGGTTATGAAGCAAATAAATGCTAAAAAACATATGATGCTAAAGAATTTTGTGGGGCCACATTACAAGATGTCCTAGGTCTCATGCAGCCCGCAGGCCATGGGTTGGACATACCTTCTAAGTTTTGTAAGCTTTTATGGCTTAGTTTCTTTCTGTCAACATTAAGTCACTGGATTGTGGTAAACTTATAATTCAGTTATTTATTTTCATTGCTGCAAAATATTTCACTGCATGAATAAAGCCTCACTTTGTTTATCCACTATAGTGTTGATGGACATTTGGATTCAGTGTTATACTGTCACATACATAACTATGAGGACTTTCTTGTACATATCTCTAGGTGCTCAAGTAAAAGAGTTTTGTACCATTTATATGTAGTAGAATGACATGTTGGGTCAAAAACTATGAGCATCTTTACCTTTATGAGTGAATGAAAAATTATTGTCCAGTTGCTCTTTTTTTCTTAAGAAAAACAGCACTTTTAGTAAACACAATTAAATACTCGAGAATACTTCTTGCTAGTACAATATAGTGAAATTGTATATACCATATTCTTGTATCCACAGGTAGACTCTCACTCCATTCCTTTCTGATTAGTGATACAGCCATATTACATTTTCTTCCACACATATAGTCCAGTCCAATAAGGCAGACAGCCCTGCTGATCTATAAAAAGAACAATGTGGACGCTCAAGCAAAAAGGCAACATTATTTCTATGGGATTGGGCATAAAAATTTCATGCCCTGATCTTGTAGTTAGAAGCAATGATGTCTGAAGATAGTAAACTGTGGTAGGTTAAGCAGAGACTATTTCATAAAATCACAGTCTGGATTGAGTGCCGTTTCAGCTGCTCCCTTAGCTTGATAGCTCCCTTTCCAATGATAAAAATAAAGCATGAACTTACCATCATTATTTCTTGGCCCTCCACCCAGATAATACTGGGGATTTTAAATAGAAATCTGAAGCTGCATCATACCCAGAGTTTTACATGTCCTCTTTGCTTGGTACTGAAATTCAAAGTTACCTTAGCTTTCTTTTTCATGCTGAGAAAAAAATGGAAAGAAATCAGTGTAGATAAAGAGGAGAGAAGAGGAGGAGAGGGAGGGAGGGAGAGAAAGAGGGAAGAGAGAGAGAGAGAGAGAGAGAGGGAGAGAGGAAGAAAGAGAGACTGTGTTCTATCTAAATACATATATTTAGTAGGTGTCCTACAAATTGTGGTGTGTGTGTGTGTGTGTGTGTGTGTGTGTGTGTGTGTGTGTGTGTGTGTTATACAACATACTAGGACAAGAAAAAATATTTATCTGTTTAGGCTTCTTCTATCCTGAATTATAGTTTGCCTCAGGGACAGGTGGCAACTGTTTATGTTAATAATAAATGAAACGGACTACATACTGAATCACAGGACTCTCCCAAGAGGCTAAGAGACTGAAAACTTTCCCCCACAAAACCTGATGTAAGATCATAAGATAAAGACAGCCATTTCAGTTAATATTTTTTCATTAGTATGTTAAATATTTCCCTTAAGATAAAAAAATACCATGATAAAATATGCTTCATCCTTTCACCTCCAACACTAAAAATGATTCTAGGATGACCCTAGAGACAAAGAGCACCTTTTAGAATTTTGTTGTCTTCCTGCAAAGGTTTGAGTCCTTTCTTCTTGAGTCTGGTACATGGTTTTATATTTTTTCCTGGTAATCATAACTGATAGTTATTTTTAGTGGTAGAATCTAGAAAACAATTTTTAAAAATCCAGGATTAATTGCTCATTATCTCCACTGGGAAAAGTGCTCTGAGTTGACGTCCCTGATATAGTTTGAGCTTAGTTTACCAGAATGATTATGATTGCAGAGAGGTATCATGGGGAATCATTTTCAAAGCATTTTCCATATTTCCTACAGATTTTTTTTAAATACACTTGCCAGCAATGCAATTATCCTGAGTGCTAGTATCTATCCTAAATTTCTCAGTGGCTTAGTGGCTAATTCTGGCAACCTGAATTCTCTTTACTGAGCATGAAGAAGAACCTCAATTCATCAGAAAA